ATATAAATGAAAATATGACATGATGAAATCTGTATGGTTGTACCATACTGGGCATTATACCATCCTTATATTTACTCTTCATTGCAGAAATATAATTTTTAATTTGAAAATCGCTAGGAAAATCATCTTGTAATACATCGTACATCTGATGTAACTTCAACACTGTATCATTGGGCTTTACCGTGTCTTTAATGTAAAAATAATTGAAACTAATGATTTCTTATATATGATTCGAATCCCCTCTTTTAAGATAAGGATACTATGGTGTCCGTTTTTTATGTTTCGCTATCAGTGTAGTAATCAATTGATGAATCTCCGATTCAGCTGGTTTGTCAAATCGATATCTTAGGATATCTTCGAATAAATCCTTCCCTCATCCGACCTGGACACACGGTTTAGCTTAATCGTTACATTTAAACCACCACATTCATAACCAGATCTAGAACATTTCAAGCATGTTTCATTGCTACATCGTTTTACTTTACATTTACAAGTTAACTTCTACATGTTGGCTTTCATGGTGTCGGGTCAGGGTCGAACATAGTGCCAAACATTTTCTTCTTGTCTAACTAAAACAACCCAAACCTTTCTGGAATGCTCGTATGGCAGGTGTCGAATAGAAACCAAATAATTTCAATACTTTACTGGTGATCTAAGAGCTCAACTTTTCTAGGTGTAACCAGGAGTATTTTTGTTTTAGCATTAGAAGGCTCTGCAGTCGCATCCACAAAGAGTATGTTGTTAAGAACACAACTCCCACTAGTATTGCCAGCTACTGGTTGAAAGAATGTGAACTAGAGTTTACTTATGAGATTCTCTACGTTTTACTACGATCCAGGAAAGGGTTTCAACTGTGCTTGCTCGAACCTCTTGCTATAAAGATAAAAACAAACAAACCTAGTCTGAGTCAGAAGATGAGTTTGAAGTTGAAACTTAGATTGGCCTAAAAATTTAAAACAATTGTAATATAATGAGAGGAAAAAATGATTAAACTAGAACCGACATAAGGTTAATTGGATTAAGAAACTCTTCTCCAAGAATAATGTTTCTACAGTTCGAGAGAATTATTCGGTGTTTGCAAGTTTCTAAAATATACATGGAAAGATAAACAAAATTATTCTGTAATCAAATCGTGTTTTAAAGTAAAAAATAATAATTTTGGTTTAAAAATTGGTCATTACTATACTCTGTAATATCTCTTCTTTCCTTTTTATTAATCGTTAATACTCATAACGAGGTGTTCTTATAATATCACTACAGAAATATATATTTACACATGGCGCATAAATATTACAAATATTTGTAGAAACTGTGTCTTACAATTTTGTTTTAGAGCAAAACCATATTGGGGCACCTGTTGTGTTCACAATGGGAAATTAACCTCGGATTTTAGCGTTGTAAGTCCGTGAACTTACCACTGTCTTACCGGGGGAGTTTACAAGCTGGAAGAAAATTATGTACCAATTAATTACAGCGTTTACAGTGGTACAGCGGTGTGTCTGTGGACTTACAAAGCTAGAAACAGGTTTTCGATACCTGTGGTGGGCAGAGCAAAGAGAGCCCATTGTGCAACTTTGTCCTTAACTTGAAACAAACAAACAAACGTTGATAGTTTGAGATTTACATCATTATTGCACCTATCTTTTAGTTGACCACTAACTCAACTCTATGCAATAGATATCTTTGATGTAAACTTAGAAACACTATGTTGATCTCAACTCTATGCAATAGATATCTTTGGTGTAAAATTAGAAACACTATGTTGATCTCAACTCTATGCAATAGATATCTTTGGTGTAAAATTAGAAACACTATGTTGATCTCAACTCTATGCAATAGATATCTTTGGTGTAAAATTAGAAACACTATGTTGATCTCAACTCTATGCAATAGATATCTTTGGTGTAAAATTAGAAACACTATGTTGATGGGTCTGGCGTGGCATAATCGGTAAAATGTTGGATTTGGATCAAAGGATGAAGGATTCGCATTCTGTTGTCACAAAATCTTACTCTGCATTTTGGGGATTTAGATGCCTCGTAAGAGTGACAGTCAAATCCAACTATTCAGCTAGAGTAGCCAAGGGTCTTATTTAGTAGTATTAACGTGTTCTTTCACTTAAAATAGAATTATTTGTAGCTATTGTGTTCTAGTTATTGCTTATTAATGAAGGTTTTTACATTTTTCCGTGATGTATCGTTATTCCTTTTCATGTTGAACCCAACATTTTATTTATTTTTTTACTTTGAAGTTCCCACTTGAATATTCTTGTTTCCTAATATAAACAACAACAACGACAACAAAAAAGCACACCCATTAATTGTCGATTACTCTAATATTTCTTAGGCTATTTTGAGCAAAGAATTTTCTGATTGGCTTTTTTCAATATACGATATAGTTAGGGAAAAGTAATTTTTCTCTGAAACAAAATTTCATCATTAACTTTAACGTTTTCAAACGCGAGACCTTATACATTTACAGCCTAATTGCCTTATCAAAGAAATAAAGCAATAAAACAGTGACAAATTGATATAATCTATTAATGAAAAAGGACCTACGGCTGTTTTGTTTGTCAGCGGACTAAAGTTTCAGAGGTAACGAAGTGTGACTCATTACCTTAATTATTCAATGCTTAAGACTTTTTAAAACTGTTAGTGGAATGATCATACGAACCGAGAACATCAAAGTAATGAGCCATAGTTACGTGCATTTAATATATATATATATATATATATATATACTCTTAATATTATAAAATTTTGAAGTAGACTTTTTACCAGTTGTTCAGCAATGATTAGTACACATTAAAAATACTCGGTCAATCTGTTTATTTAAGTGTTTTCTTATAAAACTTAAGCTTTTAGAGAACGATGTGTAGGAAACAGATGAAAGGTGAAAGACACAAATGATTTATTAGATAACGAGTACTATAATCGTTTTTACTTTGGAGCTCCAGAGACACGTATAGAAATGTGGAAAATATATGTGCTTGAGACTTCCATGACAAATAGATGATTAATGAGTTTTGGTTTTGTTTTTCTTTATGTGGCCTCATACGGTATATATATATAATATTATAAGTTTACATAAAGGCACATTCAAAGCAAATATAAGTTAGAGCATTATTTACTTAAAGCTTACAAATACTAGTAATATATATTTCAATTAATTTTAATAGATTAAAGATAAAAATCGTTATTAGAAACTTAAGCCGACGAGTTTTGGTAACACAGTTACCACTGGTAAACCGTGTTGCCGAAACTAGTCGGCTGAAATTTCTGATAAAGATTTTATATTTCATTGTGCTAAAAACATAATAACTTGTAATACTGTACTAGTAATATACTAAACGAGAGAAGCACTTTCCTGGGTCTCTACGGATTAACTATTTTTTTGGAAATGTTTCTTTATTTTTCTGTTTTATCTACAAACAATTTATAGATCAGTTGTCTCTAAAATTTTATTATCTGACTAGGTGACGTCATGAGTCAACAGTGTGACGGATTAACTATTAAATATCTATTTTAATATCTAAAATTGTAGAAGATTCTCGAGGGTAAGAATCAACAATGCATGTGTGTACGTAAACACTAGTGTATCGTTAGTATTGTTGTGTAAGGTGAAATTTCGAGAAACACTTCTCACGCCTATAAATATAACTAATGCGATGCGCCAAAACACAGTATATATATATTATTGGTTTGCTATAGTTGGTGTACTATAAACTTCAGAAGCTACAATTGTAATTGTTATAACGATTATTAATCGGGAACTTCAGAAATTTGACCAGGAACATTTGTAGATTTCGAATATTACAAAACATTTAACTTCAGCGGATTGACATCGGACATTAGTATTTTTACGAAAACATTATATAACTTCATCACTGGATAACTCGGCGTACGAACCGGTGAAGAACGAAGAACAGACTTAGCTAGCTCCCTGTTAAGTGAATTGTATCTACATCTATTCAAAACTAATTCGCTCATCGTGAGACCTCGATAAGATATCAAAGAAATTCCAGACCAGATAGAGGACTAAATATTGTTTGTAAGTTTGTAAAACATTTGTACATAGATCATTATTTGTAATAACTGTTATTATAAATTGTGTTATTGTTTGTATATTAAAATATATTTGTATAAAAAACTGTGTGTATCAATCTTGTTGACAAATATCACAAATTAGATAAATTCGACATTTATTTAATTTCTAAACATAAATTATCATTTAACTCAGTCTCAGGATATTCCAAATTATAATATGTTACGTAATAAATTGAAGACTTGTTCGTGCTATATTGTAATACGTAACAACAGCGATCAGCGCCATTTAATAACAAAAGTTGATGAATATATTTATATATATATATGAAAAAATAAATAATAAGAGCATAAAATAGAATTTAAACACTATTAGATACATAAGATCTTAAATTAGCAATTAATAGTTCCCCGGTGGGAATCTATGGACTTGCAACGCTGAAATCCGGGGTTCGATTACTTGCGGTAGACACAGCAGATAGAACACTATGGCTTTGTTTTAGAATAAACAAACAAACTATTAATCGATATTTGGTGATGTTAAAATAGTCGTAGAGACTTTATTTAGGATCGTTTTCTGAATTATCAGCTCCAAAGTTACGCCCCGGCACAGTGGAAAATCTAAAGACGTAAAACACTAAAATTCGGGTTTCGATACCCGTGATGAGTACAGCACAGATAACTCATTGTGTAGGTTTGTGCTTAACAAGAAACGAACGATGAAGCAAACAAAATCCAGCTTTATAGTGTTCAGTTAATTCCACAAGATTAACTCAATGCGATATCCTGCGATGACTAATGTAGAAAGCTGTTTTATCTAATAACTGTGAATATAAAAACGGCATATTTCCGTTTATATGAGAGCAGATTAAAAATATGGAAAATTAAATTACCGCATCCAAGCTCTACAAAGTACAACACTGAAGCAAATTCAATCACCATTTTCTGATGTCTGCTTTATACCGGAATTTATTTTCTCAAATTAGGTAAAACGTTTAATGATACACAAAAATTAGTATGTTTTATCTTGGCCATTATTACCTTCTTTGTTAATCTTGCTGTCATTCAACAATAAGTATAGTAAGAGCACTAATATGTTGAATTCTTCACCCAAAATATAACATTCGAATACGGATTAGCTGCAGGATGACAATAACACCGCGGGACTAAGTTATATTTACATCAAATACCAAGGATACTCAGAAACTTGGGAAGATCTCTCAACTTCTGAAGTGTGGATTTGTGACAGGAATCTTTATTGTTATTTTTGTAAAGATGCGATTATTTAATAGAGATTTCGTTGTCATTTCTCGGTGACTCCTTATACACATGAGAAACAAGACAATGACAAATAGGAACGAAGCAAGCTGATAATAATTATCAATTACAGTTTGCATGTAAGTGTGGAAACAATTAGTTACAGTTGATCAATGTTTACGGATATTTTGACATAACTTGTTCTTTTGACATCAGTCAGTAAAACTGCCAAAATAGATGCAGTTCTAACCATGGCATGTTCTCCTTCCATCTATTAGTGAAATGTTAAAGATTAGATCCAGTTAATCACACTTCCAGTCACTACTTAGAGATAACTTGTTCTTTTATACCTGCCAATAAAATAGCAAAAACAAATGCAATTAATCACACTTTTAACAATTCCTGTGAAGTGACTTCTTTTTTTACATTTAAAGTTAAAAATGAAAACAATCAATTTAACTTATTTAGTGCCATACTAATGATTTTGTTATACCTTGTTTTTATATGAATTGTAACACTTAGATACATTTGATTACTGTTGTACCCGCTCCTTTTACACGACTCGTTCTCTTTTAAACGTTACAATTAAATAGTAGCATCAGATATAAATTATCATTCGTTTACTTATAATTTAATTTTTTTTGTGTTAAACAAATAATGATGTTTTGAAAGAAACTAGAGAAAATTGAACGAGAAACTTCATCAGTTTTTGACCTTATAAACTATAAACACGCAGCTCGAAATCACAAGGTCCTTTTTTTCCTTACACATGCCGAATTTGTCAATTAGATTCCACATTTATATAAAGAAACACACGTGAAAGGTCACATAATATAAAACTAAGTTTTTCCATAATTTAAAAGAGAACAAGTCCGCACAGTAGACTACATGCATTATGTTGTTTGTTATAGTTGATGGCAAACTACCACAACCACATTCCAAAAAAGTATTGAAATGCTAAAGAGAATAGAATAACTTATTAATAAAAAGATCTCCCTATCTGACCTAAAGGTGTGGCGAGTTTTTATTCATGCTTCGCATTCTTGTATACATAATCCTAACAGTGCATTCAACAACGTGGGTAATAAGTATTTTCTTTTGCTTCATAAAGTAATTAAATAAGATGAAAAGTTTTACAAAAATTAGCTTTTGTTTATGATCCTCTTAATGACAACGATTAATTGGCAAAAAGTTAAAATAAACTTTAAATTTAAAAGAAATATAAACATAAGATATTTTAGCAATGTATTGCAAAATACATACACGATCTAAAAAAATCTAATCTAAATATTAGAATTTAAGGTAAATTAAAACTTAACTTTTATCAAAGAGTACTTTTGGAAATAAACCTAGAAATTTAATATTAAAACGTTTTCTAAGAAAACTCGAGTTACAATTAGTTTGGTTGTATCTATGTTAATTTTACGTTAGAATACAGTGTAGAAACCAGAGAGGGGCGTTTCCGAAAACCCAATTTTCTACTTAAGCACACTATAATTAATTACTTTAAAACTGAATCAAATGCATACTAAATAAATGATTTAACGTTTGTAGCCGTCGTTTTCAATCATCGCTAAGAAACTATTGAACAAACGGAAGGACTTTACCATTTCTAATTTAAAAATCACAAATTATGAAACGATAATATTGACGACTAAGAAGAGTTATAGAAGAATATGTCAATACATAGAATTAGAATCACGATTTTCTAATTTTATTTATTATAGTAAATCACGACTTTACTATAAT